GAGATCGAGATCGCGGCGCCGCGGCCCCCGCGCCGCCCCGGTTCCACTTTCCCTTACCCAGTCAGGCGGCCTCCTTTCACTTCCTGAGTCATTTAAAGTGGCAATGGCCCTTTTCTGCCTTTCTCGTGGGGGCTCCGCATCGCCGGAAGGAGGGGGAGGATGGTTGAGGCCTCCCGCTCACTCCTGCGGTGGGAATTGGGCCCCGCCTCCCCCACGCCCACCCCAGTAGGTGTCGACCTGACTTTTCAGGGCCACTGAGCAAGTGTACGTGTGTATTTCAGTCTCTCTCCTGACTATCTGTCGCCTACCTTTCCAGGCCCCGCTGTTGCGTCCTCTGCAAGGTGCCAGGGCAGAATGTTGTTTACCAGACTGAACATGACCACTTGGGATTTCCAGAGGACCCCAGAAGCGTTGTGTTTGTTCTCCTGGACGCGGGGAATCTCAAAGTCAGGCTGAGCAAACAGACATTTTCGATACAAAGTGATACTATATTTCATCTGTTAGCAAACTCTGTGTGCATTCCTGTTTTTTGGCTCAGAACCTATGTGGTGGCCACCTTTGCGCCTTTTTCTGAGAACTTGCCTTGGGTTTGAGATGTCAGGTGAGGTAGATGGAGAGAGACAGTATTTATCGAAAGAGAGTTCCAGTGTGCATTCATTTTTCCTTTATGTAAGAAGACCGTCTAGATTCAGATTGGGTTCCAAAGAATGGAACGGAACTATTTATTATTTATTAACCAATACTAAAGTGCCAAGAATCAGGCTGTATCTTTCTGTGGCTCTTTACAAGCCGGTTTTGGAAGATCCACTGCCCATGGGGGGCCCAAACCCTAATGCTACAATTTGTTGGCTTTGTAACCATGGAGAAGTTAATCATTCTGTTTCCCACTTAAAAAAAATACATATGTAAAGTGGAAATAATGGTGATACCTACCTCATGCGGCTGTTTTGTGGATGAAATGTAAAGGTGCCTGCGTTTTAGATGTATTCACTACCTTTTAACTGCTGTTATTGGCACAAATTACATTTAATGCACATAATGACCTTTTGAAAGATAATTTAAACATTTTTAACACATTGGGCATGGGGGGAGTGCTGCTGATAGTGTAAGCAACCCCCCACCACTACCCCATATCTATGTCTCTCCATGGAAGAGTTTTTGTTTTGTATCTGGAAGAGGAAAAGGGCATTTTGATCTAGTTGAGGGGAGAGGCTGAAGTATGGTTGAGAAGAATGGAGGGGGACGGAATAGTGTCTGCTTTCCATTGACTCCTTTAAATAATTTTGAGCTAGGATTTCCAGATGAACTTCACGAAAATGCCAGGGGTGGTGTGGGATAAAAATCATTTAAAATAATTTTTAATATCTCCACATATGTATGCTTACTCTCTGTACAGCTTTTATCAGAGAATTAGTTTTTAGAAATCTTTTGTTCTTTAACCTCAGAACAATTCTATAGAATGTTGAAAGAAAAGTCAGAGGTTTGTTTTGTTTCAATTACATACACATTTCTATTTTTCTCTAGTTCATTTCTCTGGAACTTATTCCCATGTCTGCATTTGAAACTAGGATTGATGCACCATTCTTAAAAAAATTCAACAAATGTCAACTCAAACATCAACATTAATATACCTAGGTATACCAATTTATACCTCCCCAGGCTTAAAAGGAAATAGCTTTTATGAATATAATATTATCATATTTAGAAAATATTTTTTCAACAAAAATAAATTTTGAATGTCTTAAATGTTTGTGTCCAAAGCCTTTGGTGGGGAGAAAGAGAGAGGTGTCTTTTGTTGTCATTGTTGTTATTATTTGTTCTTAATTTTACTGACAGAAATTTAAATTATCACGAGGTGCAATTCAGTATCTGATATTTCACAATCTTTTTTTGAGTACTCTGGGGAGAGGGTCTTAGTGGCAAAAATTGATGGAACTTTTAAAAAGGGACTTCATAAAATTCCGGTGATGAAGTATGGCAGACTCAATGAGACAGAATTTCTGTACCCCCTCTGCACTGAAATCAGAATGGTCTGATTCCCCAGGAATTGTAATCTTTGGGAGCATCCAAAGATTAAAAAATAAAACTTGTTATATTACTTTATTATTGCGTAGAAAATTGCCTCAAAACATAGCAGCTTAAGACAATAAACATTTATTATCTCACTCTCTGTGAGCCAAGAATATGGGACTGGCTTATCTGGGTGGTCTAACTCGGGGTCTCTTAAAAGATTTCAGTGAAGATATTGGCTGGGGCTATAGTCACTTGAGTGCTTGACTTATAGGATTTGCTTCGAAGATGGCTCACTCACATGGCTGTTGGCAAGAAGACTCATCACTTTCTATTGGGCTGCTTGAGTGTCCTCATGACATGGCAGTTGAATTATTCCAAAGCCAAGTGATCCAAAAGAGAGCAAGGTGGAAATGCAATGCCTTTCATGACCCAAGCACAGAAGTCATACATCATCATTTCCAAAACAGCCTATTAGTTACAGAAATCAGCTCTATTCTGTGTGGGAGGGGACTCCACAAGGGTATGAATACCAAAAGTTAGGGATCTTTGGGGCCATCTTTGAGGCTGGCTACCAAATTCTGCCCTTTGGCCCCCAGTGATTCATGGCTCTCTCAAATGCAAAATGCATTCTCTTCCTCCCAAGAGCCTCAAAGTCTCAATCCATTTCATCATCAACTTAAAGTCCAGAATCTTATCTAAATCAGGTCCAGGAGTGGATGAGGCTCCTACGTATAGTGTTTTAAATGCAGCTCTGCAAGTACAGTTAGTTCCTCTTCATCTGAATACTTTTTTCCCCCACACTCTCAACATACAATGGTGGGACAGGCTTAAGATAACTGTTACAAATTCTCCTGTTTAAAAAGGAGAAAAGACAGGAGGCACAGAGGAGTCATTGGTCCACAGCAATCCTGAAATTCAGTTGGACACATGTTAGCAGTTCCTTCCTTGATTAGGGCTTAATCCTACTTCTGCCTGGGAATGATTCTCCATAGCTTTTGACTTCACCCTTTAAGCTCTTGATTCCACATTCTGAGTCATCCTTCCTTTTCTATGGAAAGTAGCCCACGTTTAAGTTAAATTCTACTTGCTTCTGCCAGTAGTATATAGTCTATAGGCCTCTTTTCATTTCGTACAGTCTTTGTCCCATTTAGTCTATGCTGGCAGTGTTTTTGCCAGTATAATTAAAGTGTTGTGAGTCTCCTATCAATCTGATTGAGGCACCATTTCATTGGACAAAAATCATATCCACAAATCTCCTCAAGATAAGCCCTTCTCTACTCTGGAGAGTCCCTCTACTGAAATTGCTGAAGTACAATACTAATAAGCTTCTTTGAAGCCCTATCATTTGAATGATTATCTGAATCACCATTGTAAATCTTTCTGAGGTATGAACAAAGAATTTTATAGCCACACTCTCAGCTTTATTGTTTAATGATGTTTTTCTTACAGTGTCTTAAAGTTTATTTTTTGAGTGGAAGCCATTTCTTCATTTTAGCATTATTTATCATCTAGAGAAGAGGGGAATTTTCAAATCTAGCAAGTTCTGGATTCTTTTTTTAAAGCCTTTGAGAACATCTCTTTCTTCTCACATTTTGAAATAATCAGGAAGAAGGCATCAGTCAGTACCTTCAACACTCTCTACCTGGCAATGCACTTAGCTAGAACACCAATTAATTAGGCACATTTCCTACTTTACACATTACTGCAGGTGACAGCGTTGCTAAACTTCTTGCTACTACATAACAAAGACCCTTTTCCTTCAGTTTCCAATAATATTTTTTCATTTCTCCTTAAGCCTTCATCTACAAACCTTCTCAAAAGCTATCAGGATTCTTCCAACAGTTTCTTCAAGACTCTTTAGGCTTTCACTAATATTCTCCTCCAAGTCCATTCTGCTTCTCCCTCTGCCCAGCTCCAAAGCCACTTCAACGTTTCAGGCTTTGATTATGGAAGCACCTAACTCTTCATAGTAAAATATGTATTAGTTATCTACTAATGAATAGTAAATTACCTCCAAACTTTGAATCCTCTTGGAGACTGACAACCTTGACATTGACATTGTCTTCTCATTGTGGTTAGCAACAGCTGCAAGGCATCTCCAATTTTTTTTTAGGCAGGGGATGTGGAGGACAGGGCAGTTTACATTTGTGACTGTTTTGCAGTTTCATGTGGGACTTTGAGAAATATATGGTATATTCCTTAAACAAACTGGTGTCTGCTAATTATGTGGGTGATGGCTAACTCTTCCTAGTAACCTCACCTGTCTTTTCCTTCCAACTGTGAAATCAATTTCTGTTCCAAAGAGGTAAACTGGGTTTAGTAAGAGTCATAATAAAGAACATTTAATTTCAGCAAAACCTTGAGAAGCTGAGAAGAGAACATGGTGGAATTTCTAAGTCCACTGCTTTAGGGAAGGTATTTGCACCCCCTCAGCAGGTCCCATTCTTATGTAATTACACTATCATTTTAGTGACTGATTTCATTTCCCCTGCTCCAAGCCTCTGAGATCACCTAAAGCTCATCTCATGCTGTTATCATATTAGCCAATATCTTATCCTATTAAAGCCAGTGCAGTAAAATATGATATCCCCCAGCCGATCCCAACTCTGCCAAAATATAAAGAATGAAGTCTTTATGGCTGAGCATGACTCTTCTTGTTCCTTAGAAGCCTATTGGAGATGGATACCAAAATGATTTTTTGGCCCAACACCCTCTGAACATTTACATTTCATCCAGTTCTTACAAGTGAATAGCTCACTGCTTGTTAATATTATAATGCTCTAAACACCCCTACCCCTTAAAAAATAAGTATATGTAAAGATAACCCCAGATAAGGTCTGATCAAGACGTATTAATTTCAATTCATTCATTTAGTATGTTACTAGCTA